CAGAAAACAGCCAACAATTCAAAATTTATGCCTGTGAAACAACACATCATGAAAGCCAGTTAAGTAATCTGCCATGTTTTATTATTTTCTTTTATTTATTACTTAACCGCGTGTATTTGTCTATCTCTCTTAAAACCCAAAAACTTTTTGGGTTTTAAGCATAGGCATTAATCAGCTGACCATGTTGTTTAATGTTGTCCCTGGTAAAGTTACTTTATATTTAATAGTTAAGTCTTTTGTTTGAGATACCAAACCAGTGGCTGGAAATTCATTGTTTGCAAAGTCTGAGATTGGTCATTAAAAATTCTGGTTAGGAACCATTAGAGCGACCGGTTTAGTTTTACTGTGTTACAGATATGAAGATAGAAAGGCTGTTGTGGTTTGGCTGTCTGTCTCTCTGTTGTAACCTTGTATAACTGAACCATATCCTCCCTTCTTTTGTATTCAATTTCCCTTGCAATGATTCTATTAGTTTTCTAAATTACTTGTTGTACCTGCATAATTGCTCTTTTGTAATTCATGTACCAGAACACTCAGATCCCTTGGCATCTCAGAGCTCTGTAGTTTCTCACCATTACTATATCATTACTATACTATCCCTACAGTGTGGAAACAGGCCATTCCGCCCAACAAGTCCACACTGCTGCTCCAAAGAGCATCCCATTCAAAGCCATTCCCCCACCCTTGCATTTCCCATATCTAACCTACCTAACCTAAACATCCCTGGTCACTATAGGCAATTTAGTATGGCCAACCCACCTACCCTGCACATCTTTGGACTGTGGGAGGAAACCGGAGCACCTGGAGGAAACCCACGCAGATACAGGGAGAATGTGCAAACTCCACACAGACAGTCGCCCGAGGCTGGAATTGAACCCGGGTCCCTGGCGCTGTGAGGTAGCAGTGCTAACCACTGATGACATACTTTTTTAATCCTTCTGCCAAAATGGACAATTTCATATTTTCTCACAATAAACTCCATTTGCCTTATTTTCCCCACTGATTGAACATACCTATATCTTTTTGTGGCCTTCTTATGGTCTCTTCACAACTTACTACCTTTGTGTCATCAGCAAATTTGGCATCCATTCCTCCTGTACTTTCATCCAAGCCATTTATGTAAATTGAAAACAGTTGAGGCCCCAGCACTGATCCCTGCAACATATCACTTGTTACATCTCGCAAAAACAATAAATAAATTAAACTCAAAGAAACTTTTACTTATGTTTCCAGCCTTGGGTGACCTGAAGGACGCAAAATATTTCTTTTTTTTTTAGTGACGCTTCCCTAACTAATCTTCCACATGGTTATTTGAGTACAGCTGAGTTTATGATATTCCTGGTGAATGAAAATGGAAATGTGTTGTCCCTTGGCTCAAAAAAACCCATGAAAATAGGAAGTGTGGTTAAATGCACTCCAGCAGCAGAAACCCTTACTTCAGCAGAAGCAACAGATGTGGGATTTTACTTTTCAGACATTTTGAGGAGAATTCTATATCAAGAGCATTCTGAAAAATGTTCACCTATTGAAATGTCTGTGGATAACCATTCGCTATGGGATAAGTAAAACAAAAAAACAGTGGATGCTGGAAATGTGAAACAAAAAACAGAAATTGCTGAAGAAAATCAGCAGGTCTAGCAACATCTGTGGAGAGAAAACAGAGTTAATACTTTGGGTCTGGTGACCCTTCTTTAGAACTATTAGTAGGTAGGAAAAGATGGTTTATATGCTGAAGACAGGAATAAGAAAACAGGTAGAGGCAGAGCCGAGACAGAAAGACAGTTAGGCAGATGAAGGGATAGATAATGGTAAGCTGAGGAGAAACAAAAGCTTGTAATGGGGACCATAAATAGGTGAAGCTGGGTCGACAGTGCTGAAAGCAGCGCATGTCATGACAGGGCCAGGGGTGTGGTGGTGGGTAAAGGGCATAAAGGAAGATATTTAGATTCTAAAATTATTAAACTTGATATTGAGTTCTGAAGGCTGCAGGGCCCACAAGTGGAAAATGCGATGCTGTTATTCCAGCTTGTGGGGAACATTGTTGGAGCACTGCAACAGGCCCGAAATGAAAATGTTGACTAGGGAACATGGTAGTATATTGAAGTGGCAGGTAACTGGAGGCTTGGGATCCTTTTTGCACAGTGTGAGTGAGAACAGGTTAAGGATTGACCTTGCTGGTGAATGTTAGACAGAAAAGACCATTGAAGGTAAAATGGGTCAATACAAGTCACCAATTTCTGGGCTGCTTTATAGAAAAGGAATACTTGCTCAAAGAAATTATTGGAGGAGAGGGCCTTTTACATAATTTGGAAAATAACTTTTCTCATCAACATGCTTTATAATTAACTGAGTGTGTCAAGTTTCTGTTGTTTAAAGAAAGAAAGGGGATTCTGTTAGTGGAATGTTAATTACATTGTTAAGCTAAACAGGTAACAGGCATTTTAATTAAGTACAGGTACTGTGGTAGTGTTCCTACCTCTGAGCCAGAGGACCCAGGTTCAAGTCCCACCTGCTCTCCAAGTGTGTAATAATGCATCTCTGAACAGGTTGCTGAGAAAATATATTAATGCATTTTCAGGGCTCTTGTAGCTCAGTAGGAATATCTATACTACTGGACCAGACAGCTCAAGTTCAAGTTCACCTACTCTGGAACTGTGTCACAACATGCCTGAACAGGAATTTTAAAAAGTCTTCGGATGAAATGGCACCAATGTTGTTACGTTCTTCTTTTAGAAGGGTCTTGTGGTGCAGTAATCATGACTCCACCATTCAGACAGGGGCCAGGTTTCAAGTCCCACTTGCTCCAGAGGTGTATCATAACATCTCTGAACTGGTTGATTCGAAAATATCTTAAAGTATTTCTGAAGAGAGTGCTCTTTTCACTGAGGTAGTTGGGAGGAAGGAACCATATGCAAAGGTAGAACCATACGTTCAGGGAAAAGGTCACCCGACTCGAAACATTAACTCTGACCTTTCTTCACAGATGCTGCCAGACCTGTTGAGCTTTTCAAACAACCTGTTTTTGTTCCTGATTTACAGCATCCACAGTTCTTTGGGTTTTTATGAACGATATAAGTTTGCATTCTGCAAACAAACCTATTATCAAGGAAAATAACAGTGTCTAGTTTTATATTTCACCACTGGATTTGAGATTAAATTAACAACCGGTGAATCTTCTGCAAAAACATTTGAATAGGATGTTAGTGCTATTCATGTCACCATCATGCAATCGCACCCTATTGAACCTGGAACAAGAATGTGAAGTAGTGCTCTTGTTTCTGCTGCCTCTCACCATCTGGCTAGATGGTGGCTGTCCAGCTTATGCAGTTGGCTGACCCCCTTGCTGTAGCTGAAATCGCCCCACCCCACATCCTGCTGTGTTATTTGCTGCCCCCTTCACAGTCCCACAGTTGCAAATTCCGTAGTGTTAAATAGCAAACCTGTACACTTTGTAAGGCGAGATTGTGCCACTCCATCACTATAGATTCAACAATATAAGTGATAGATGTCTTCAAGATCTATAGTTAGGCAGTGAACAAGTTTATTTCTGTTCTGAAGTGTCACTGGATCTGAAACATTAATTTTGCTTTCTCTCCAAGATGTTGCCAGACTGGCTGAGTTTCTTCAGTAACTTCTGTTTCAGATTTCCAGTATCTGCAGTTTTTTGTTTGTTTTATTTACTTGCTTAGAGATGTCACAGGTACTGCAACTGCATGGGCTGAGAGTGCAACCCCTACACAAATTGCATTTGGTGCGAATTGTGATACTGGCAGTTAAGATTTGGATTTAAATGAGTTCAACTTCATGGACAGTGGAAAATGGCAGGTTGGTCTCATCAGCATTGAAATATTCAGTTTGAAAAATAATAAAGCTGTGGTTGAGCTGAGGCAGAGCCACAGCAGAGTGATGTTATGAAATTGTAAATAGGAGGTATTATTGATGATGCAGATATATTGTCAGAAATTGATTTCAGGGTCAGACAGAACACCACCTCCGAAGATCAAGCGTGTGATCTCTCATAAGATGCACTTGAAAACTATTCCCTTGCATCCTCCACCAGCATAGAGATTCTCATCTCTGTGGGTACACTTACTAGTTGGACTTGGGGAAACAATCTGGCTAGTGAATTGCTAACAAAAGCCCATAGCTGGTGGACGGAGAAGCTTTTGGAAGCTCTGATAGATGGAGGACTGCTGGGGTCTCGGCACCATATGGAAATAGCTTTGTATTCAGCTATAAGTGACATGGCCAAACTGCAAAGAGAGGCATAGGAACAGCAAGCAGTGTACCAGAGGTCTTCAGTAAATTGGAGCGAAAGGTGGAAGAGTCTGTCAATGTCCTCAGTAATGTCCAAGCTTACCTATGAGTTCCTGAACCAATAGTGTGAATGGTGTTCTTTTGTCACAACCTTTTCCTTCTTAACTCTTATGTCACTTTTTCCAATCCCACATATTAGTTTTACCCATGACAAACCAGATATGCCTTTGGATTATTCACAAAGCACAGGAGTCAAAGGAGCACATGAATGATCGCAGCCCTCCCAATGGTGGCAAGGAGACGCTCTCCACGGTTTCAGATGTGGGATCCAGACCACAACGTGGACTGGTTTATCAATCCCAGAATTGAAATTAGTTTGGCAGTTGGCGCCTCTTTGCCTGAATGACTTTTCTTCAATGTTCACAGTTTGCCATTGGTAGAAAACAAGTGTTGGGTCTGGAGCTAGTGTTCCTGAGGGGTAAGGTTAGGCAGGGGTATAGCTGCCCGTTTAATCCTGACACTCTCTGGCCTTGCAGATCATGAACCGATCCTGGTGTTTAAAGCGGTGACATTTTTCCCCGATCAAACTCGACTTTAACCTGTTTACTTTTTTTCCCCCAGGTTACTAGCTCGATGAGAATGAAGACACACAGTTTGAAGGAGAATCCAGTTCGATGCCCAAAAACAGTTCGTCTGTACCCCGCCCGCTGACTCACTAATTCTTCCGGGTCGCTGCTGCAACCGGAAGGAGCAGCCAGTCGTGACCCCGGAAGCAGTGTTTGGAGGGCCGGGTGAATATGGCGGCGCCCGGGAGGAGCTGAGAGTAGTTTCTGAACGGACTGAGTCCGGAATGATGGAGGGCAGAGAGTTTCTCGCCTCTCTTGTGGTGAGCACTTCTATTAGAAGCGTGTGACTGCTTCCGTTGAAAAACTTATTTGCAGGAAAGGAGAGAACCAGTTTGGTTTTACACGTCTAGCACGAGTCAAACAGGAAAATAATATGGAACTCTTAACAAGGAGCGTTTTAATGGTTTTTATTGGCAGGTTTTAACCGATGCTTTGCATTTTGGTCTGTTATTAAACTGCAAGAATTATGGAGGCAATAGTATAATTAAATTTCTTCCCAGCAATCAATGAATGAACAGTTGAAGTAAAACCCTGCCCTGTGTATATTGTACCAGCTATCATTTTCATTTATTTATGAGTCCCTAAAATATTTATAGACACTTTTCGTTGTGTTTGGAGCATTGATGGTAAAGTTAGGAGATTTGCTTTGTTAACCTGCCGAATGGCATCTATTGATTTAAAGATAATTACTTTAAAATGAATTCTGCGTTTCAAACAGTAGCTACATTTCAAAAGTGCTTTGTTGACTGTTGAATGAATTGGGATGCTTTGGAGTTGTCAGAGGTGTTGAGTAAATTCAAGTCTGTCAAATTTTTTTTCTTAAACGCTAGAAACTTCACACAAATGAATTCAAGGAGTCAATGTTTTACATAGGAACATAACAGCAGGAGTAGGCCTTTCACCTTTGATGCCTACTCTGCCATCCAATAAAACATGACTCATCTGGTTGTTGGGCTCAGCTCCATTTTCTTGCCTGTCCCCTCTCCCATTCTTGATTTTCTTGTCTTTCAAAGTCAGAAGTCACATGACACTACGTTATAGACTAACAGATTTATTTGAAATCATGAGCTTGTGGAGCGTCGTTCATTTGTCAGGTGAAGTGGAGGGAAACACACAGGCACAGAATTTGTAGGCAGAGAGATAATGGCCATTATTCCCTGATTAAATTATTCCTGATTGCAACTATATTTCTCCTTACTCCCACTTCTTGAATGGCTCGCTATACCATGGTGCTACGGTCAGTTCGCTCATCCTTCCTACAGCCCCCGCTCTCCCCCCAGGGAGCTAGAATCTCAAACGTGTTAGACAAGCTCAAGGGCTGAAGCTCCTTCAGTACTTTATCCTAATCTAAGGGGTGTGACTGCCTGCTGATACACAGCTTTCAAGTAACACACTCGCTGGCTGTTTCTCCCGGTGATGTGTTGCAGTGTTTGAAGCCAAGACTCCAGCTCAACCACACTGAGCCAGAGTTCCTCAAGAAACCAACAGTTGCTGCAGATGGGGTCACTGGGGTCCACCAGCTCCCACATCATTGCAGGTGCAACAGGCCTCCAATCTATTTTAGTTGTTTCTTAATTTAACTTTTTAAAAATTTCCTACTGGTTATTTAGTTGTAAACTGTAAATATTTCTTCTCTTTAAATTTAATCTGGAAGTAACCGATAAGTCAAATGAGTAGCTATCATCAACCAATGAATGTACGGTTCATCTGAGACATCACTCTTTTGAGCCAGGCTCCAATTTATCTTATTAAAAAAAGTCCTTACAAACTATGAACCAAAAAAAATCAAAAAAACGCCTCTTTCCTTCTGTTCCTCAGCAATGTTGTTGGCTCTCAACTGCCCCCTCGGGAATTATGGATGGGCAATAAATTCTGGCCCAGCTAGTGATGGCTATATTCCGCTAGTGATGGCTATATTCCATCAGTGAATAAGAACAAAGCAGCTTTTGTATCAGGATGAACACAGCAGGCCAAGCAGCATCAGAGGAGCAGGAAGGCTGACGTTTCGGGCCTAGACCCTCCTTCAGAAAC